CCTCGCCCCTCTGGGGCTCTCCATGGAAACCAGCAGCAGGGGCTGCTGGGAAATGGAGCCTGCCATGGGCTGAAATCGACCCGTGGGACAGACTGCCCACCCCTGATTTAAATTATTCCCTGAAGAGGCCCTCCTATGGTTTCCTTATGCTTCCTTAGTCCAACAGAAGGCATTCCTCCTTATAAGAAACTGCCAGCGCTTCGCATGAACTGATTCCATCCACACAGGAGTATTTTTCTAATATGCTCCAGTCCTCCCTTCCAGGTTCCATGAAGTTCATTTCATTTCCTAAAAACTTTCCTTTCACTGCTGAGTCCATTCCTATTTGTACACAGATCTCTAATTTCTTCATTACAGTTGGTTGACAGACTCCTGAATTGTCTATACATTCTTCTGGTGTGAAAAGGATTTTTGTCTCTAGGGCATGGCTGTTCAGCTTCAAGGTGGCTGGGGCATCCAGACCTGGAGCCATAGAGGAGACCGGGTTGGAGCCCAGGAGCTGCATACAGCCTACAGGGCATCAGTTGGACAGCCCTGCTCCAGAGCACTGAGGTGCCATAAATTGGGAAAAAATGTTTTATATACTAAGGAGATTTTATTTTGCTCAATTTCAAATTAACAAGGTTTCAACATGAGAAAGCACTTTAATTTTCATTATATTTATCCAAACAATGTCTTTAAGAATCTCAAATCTGAAAGCAATTTTTGGTAAATTACAATTTAGATGCACTTCTCCTGAGAATATACATAACAACTTGTTAATGTTGCACTGCACAGCCAAATGGAATATGTATACATAAGATGGCCCACATAAGAAAATGAGAGGCAGCTATGGTTATTTTAAAGAAAACAAGATGGCCTGTTTTTAGGATGTACTGATTTCATATGCAACTTTTATTCTGAATTTATATGAAAACTTTTATTTTATTTTACATCTAATTATAGAAATATAACTTTAGATATGTAAAAGAAATCTGCAAGAGCTTCTAAAATAAAAAAGGTTATTTTGCTTGTAGAAAAGCAAATCTAAGATGGAGTATAGTTTTTTTTCAGGCGCATCCAAAATTCTGCTGTTGTGGCACTGTGCATATTAAAGGTCCTTTGGGTTGATTGCATTTCCAAAGATAAAATTCATAACTTCTGCTTTCCTCCACCATACTATCCAATATATCAGGAATGTTTTTAACTCCTTTTTATTAACTTTCAAACATTTCATCTAATTTAGGGAACAATTGGGCTACATGATGGAGATCCACTGGTAAGACATTTATCTTTTTGGAAAAGATTGTCTTAAACAATAATAAACCTTTAAAATTTCTCATGAACATTAACTTAGTGTGTGGATACTTTTTCAGTGTCCCAATGCTTGTCCACCTGGTCGTCCAGGACATGCTGGCCTGTCAGGAATGAAGGTAAGCAAATGAGTTGGCTTTAATTAGATGTGTTACCAGTATAAATACAGGCTAGCCCCTTGAATTACTACTGTGGGAAGCGGCCTGATAATAAGGTTTGATATTAGTTTCAATGAAGATTGTATTTGGTACTGTTGTATTGAGCATTGTGCTATTTCAACTTCACCTGCCAAAAAAAGCCATCACTATTTAAATATCTCATTGCTGCGTTTATAACTTAAAATTTTCAGACATGCAAATTATTCCCAGTTTTTAGTCTTCTGTTTTTTTTCCTATGAAAACTAATGTGCCAAATTGAAATAATACCATCTTGTCTCTTGCTAATTCTGATTTCTTTTATGTTGTGTTCTTTTCATAAGATGTCCAGGGATGGTGTCTCTATGAGGGAATTATTAGCTGAATGTTGGAAACGCTTTTTTGCTAGATATGGGCATGTGTTTTTCTGAAGGTGGTAAAATGGCTATCATAGCATGTATCAGTGAACAGGCAGATGAAGAGGGTTGTTGTAAAGAGGTATTGTAGAGGGAACTCCCAAATAGCTCTAGGCAGTCTGTGTTGGAAGACCCTGTATCTCAAATTGCCAATAAATAGTGTTCATTTATTTTTTTAATGTATCTTAGGGTCATAAAGGTGCAAAAGGAGAGCCTGGTGAACCAGGAAGACAGGGTCATAAGGTAAGGAAATGTTTTAGTGGGAGAACTGATATGGAAAGGAAGTGATTGGTAGCAAAATAATAATGGCTTAGCCACTTCTTTGAAAAGCATTATCAAAATTAATGTTTGTTCTGCCACAGTGCTGCAGAGAAAGTGACTTGCTGCACTGTACTTGACCCAACATCATCATCTGCTAATTTGTTCATTTCTTTTCTGCATTTATGATTGACTTGGAGATTCCCTTCTCACTTTTCATTTTGTCCTTTTACTTGTTATTGAACTAATTCAAGAATACCAAAAGGATTCATTAGTTTAAAAATATTAAGATATAAGTCTAAAGAAATTCCGTAGGCAATCAAGGAATACCTATGATAGCAGAAGTGAGTGAGGAGAGAAGAGAGATAACTAGGTGTAGGTAGAATAAGAAAGGGAAAACACAATAGATATAAAGGAAATGGGCAAGGACCAAATCTGTTTTGCAGTTCAACTAAGTTACCATCCAAAAGTGTGGGTTATTTAGAATGACAGCTTTTCAGACACTGGTTTCTGTAGGGAAATTTAGGGAATCTCCCACTGCCTTTCTTGATTCTGTAACTCATCCACAGAGGATTTGTCTTTCCAGGAGAGATGAACTAGAGCCTTTCAAAAGATAAATGAACTTAAAAAGTAGGGACAAAAAGTTGTGCACTAAAACCCTTTCCTTACATGGAAGGAGGAAAATATTAATTTATTGGAATTAGTTCCTCCTTTTTTTGAACGAATGAGATGTAAGAATCACTGAACTCTTGTTATACCCCCAGAATGGTTCTTTTACAAATCAGCCTGGCACTGGAAGTTATAGTTCCACTGTCTAACAGCATGAGGAAGGTAATTGCCTGATCAAATATGGGTTTACTAAAATGTATTATCTGTTAAATAATAACTCTGAAGGATCATGTTGAATTGCAGTGCAGAGCTACCAACTGCAGAACTGATTTTCAGACTCTGACCTAAACCATATCGCATCTTTTTATCTGAATGAACAAATAAATTGAGGAATATTAACTGTGCGGGGGAGAAAGACTTATATAAAACAGTTTGACATATTTTTGCTCTGCCTGTGTCAATTGATCACTTTCCATCAGCATTCAGATTCTTTAAACATGTTTTGTTCCTAAAGCCTATGATGCACCCTTGAAAAAACCCTATTTTTATGCAGACAGATTTGAATTGCAATTTCATCTAATGAACCAGTGTATTATTTGCTAATTTGGCATAGGGAATTTGCCTTAAGTTAGCTTCCTTTTGTGCAGAACACTTTGATGGGAATCAACAAGTAATAGGTAGTAATCTTTGCCATGACAGACTGTTGTTCCACTCAGGATGTGGATTTGCTTCAGCTTTCTTACCTTTGCTTTTTCAGGGTGAGGAAGGAGACCAAGGAATCCTAGGTGATGTTGGAACTCAAGGCCCTCCAGTAAAGTATTTTCTTTTAAATATCACTATAAGTTTGCCTCATTTAGTCATAGTTGTTTCTAAAATATAATATTTTTATTTGTTTATAAAAAAGGAGGCAGGTAAAACAATATATTTTAAAATAATATTCTCATATTGACTATAAACATAATTCTACACATGAAACAACACAATGCAACAGCTGCTTTTCTGTTGTAGGGCATAATTTATAACACTTCATGTTCAAAATATTTTTTTTCTTTGTTGCTCTGAAAAGTAAGATTGGGCAATTATATGACCTATATACACTTTTTCAGGCCTTCTCATCCATGGTGTTGTTGCCTTTGACCCTAAATTTGCAAAGACTGAGAATGCCAGTTAGATTGAGACTCTCATAACACAGGTAGAAGAATGCCTGTTTTGTGCATTCTGACAGGTTTGAAGTATGACAGGTATTGTCAAGACTTCAGGTACTTTCTGGGTTGATGCAGTAATTGATTAGGGCTTTTCAGGGCCAAACTATTGGACATTGGTACCTAAGTTCTCCCTAAGTCCTACTTTAGGCACTTGAATCTTTTTGTGGACACTTTCAGCTCCTCTTGATCACATTTTACAGTGACATTACTTCAACACTGTGATGTTTAACGGATCAAGACAATATTTTTCTGACATTGCAGTTTACTTGTGTTTGGAACCTTTGTGCAAATTATGACCAATCTCTTAGTTTCTCTAAATCTGAGCTACCTGTGTTCTGTTTGCTATTTTATTAACTGTAAAATTTTAAGGTTACCATAGTAAGTCAACATTTTTCCTGCAGAAATAGGAAAAAGTAAAATAAATATGAAGAAAGCATATAGTTCTGTAAGAAATCTACATGAAAATCAGTGTATTTCTGATAAGAAAATACTAGTATGGTCTAAGTAGTCTCAACATACTTTTGACTCTTCATTTCCAGGGCCCTCCAGGTTCAAGAGGTATGATTGGTATAATGGGACCAAAAGGTGACAAGGTAAGTATGAGCAATTATTTCTTAAAATAGAATGGAATGAGTAGGAGGAGATGGATCACTCTATATGTAACATTTTAATCAGTGGGTCATTACTTAAGGGCACTTTCTGGGCTTTTCCATATTTAGATTGATTTTGATGCCTTTTTCAGCTTTCTCTGACAAGTTTACTTCAGCAGTTGTTGTCATCATACTTCTGGTTAGGAAGAAAGACAGCTGTGTCCTTTCTGGTCATCTGTGTTTATGTATCAGTACATATAACTGCTGTGTACCTGCTCACCTCATTCACTTATTATTCTTTCCTTGTCCCCAGGATTTACAGTTGCTTGGCATATCCGGCCTCTTGCTTTTGATTGCTTTTGGGAAGACATAAAATTAATTGTTATGTATATGTATGCCGACGTTGTCCTTTTTCACTACAACTAGAATTCACTGAATATTCTGTTCTCTGAGTGCATCCTCCTGAGCTTTTCCACTTTTACTGTCTCCTGTTTTCTCTTTCTTGCCTTAGTACTTAGATCATTTCCATGAACTCAGCTCCTAACTGAGTAACTGTCAGGCTAATGCAGTGGTGTTCAACCTGTGGTCCACTGGCTTGATCCAGCCCCAAAGTGACTGGATCTGGCCTGTGGCATGGGGGATCAGTGGCAAGCAGCTCAGTCCAGTGCGTCTCCTTCCCTACCCTGTGCTGTGTCACTGATCCCATCTCCAGCCTTCCCTGGGCTCTCCCTCTCCCCTCCCCTATGGCAGGCTCTGCTTACTCGCTCCCTCCTTATCTCCCTCCCATCCTCCTGGTTCCTTCTGACATTGGCAGCCACCTCCATTCCCGGTCGCTCACTTCTCCTTCCCCTGTGCAGTTTAGTTGGATTGCAAGCACGCAGCCCATTTCTCTAAAAGGTTGAGCTGTTTTGAGTAGTGCGCATCTGACCTGAGTGTCCAATGGAGGATATGGAAAACACAGCACATATCCGCTAAACTTTATTTCTTGGTGCAAAGGTCCAGTTCTCTTAGTGTTGCCAACATAAAATACTTGTTCAGCAATTCCAGTATCTCCCTTCCTGCTGCCTTTCAGCTACTTCCCTCTGTCGCTGTTATTTATTCAATACTTCATCTCGATCATGCAAAACAGAAGATA